CACAGCGTTCTGAACAGCGGCAACCCGGTCCTTTTCGAAATTTCTCTTTTAATCGACGTTGGGTTAGCCCTTTGCTGTAGGCCGTCGTTGGGCGATGACCGGTCGATGTTGCTCGTCGGTAGGGCATCGGACTTTGAATCGAAAAACGGTTTTGTGGCGCCGACGTTTCCCTTTCCTTGGGCGATTTTTCAGTGTGCCCTGTATACCTACCATTACTTCGTTGGCCAGCCGTTCAAGGGTGACATGGCATGACAGGTTTCGGCGGTTAAAGAAGATAGCCACCTACTTTGGCCTGGCATGTGATCCCTTGCTTTGATTTTTACCCGTTTTTTCCTACATCGTCACGTAGGTTGCAGTTTTTGAATGCATCCGATCGTAGCCTGTTCTTGAAGTATCGTCATTTCGGTCAGCTCCAGCTGCATTTTTTAGTGGATTCCTTTGCTGTTGTTTTCCATTAAGAACGCTTCAACCCTTTTCAAATCTGTTGAATACTTTGGAGCCGGCAGTTGCTGTATTAACACATCGCCTATTCGTTTATCATGTTGCCAGGTTACTGAATATGTGCAAAATAGACGGCGAAAAGCACCTCCTCCGCAGCCGTTTTTTCTCTGTGTCTGATGCATGCAGTAGATGATGACGATCTTTTCCTGGCGATTGTAAATTCGGACAAATTCGTAAATGTTCTTCATGTTAACCCGCACACCGTTTCAAGCATCGTTTGACTCGCGCAGCAACAGGTAACGCCGTTATTTTCGACCACCAGGCATATGTAAATAGTTTGGCTTTCCCGTCTCTTAGTGGTACATGGTAGGCATTATTCAGTGGTTTGGGTAACTGTAAACGAACACGACAAGTGCTAATGGAGATTGTACTGTCTTGGTTTGGTTCCAAATTTTATAGCAAACCTGAAACTAGTTTGCTTCGGACCTTACCGCACAGTTGTTGCATATCATCGTCATTTAAGACTAGAAAAATTTTGACAGGTTTATACTCACATTTATATATCTAGTAGTTAGAGATGAACCATATTTATCGTAATTTGTGAACCATCTTAAAGCTTCCTGATATATTATTAAATGTCGAAGTTTCTAATCCAGTTTTATGCGACTATTCTGCGTTTGCAAGTGAACCAGAAGGTGTTGTCCACATCGCTTCGTTTTGATTACGTTTTCTGTCTTCGAGTGGGATATTCAGTGAAATAATACTTTACAGTCAGCTGTAAACTTAATCATAACCTGTATGACTGACTTGATGTGGCGGTGACAGTTGCAAATTTAATTCGTTGACAGGAATGGAGACGTAATATAAAAGCCAAGCAACGTAATTTCCACACATTTCCCTAGTTTTTACCATTTAACGGATAGGAATCTTGCAGTTTTCTTTCAGCTTCTTTATGCTATCTATCGAAAGGCAGTGGTTAAGTCACCGCCCTCTGCCCAGATGGTAGGAAGCGCGATGAAAAGATATGCGCGCACTTTCTCGATTGGCTAATCAAAATTATACCTAGATTCTAGATACCTTCCATACAGTTTTATAAACATCCAGTTTTTTCTTCTTCCGGAAACTGCTCAAAGAAGTCCTAAAGCTCTGCGATTCCCAATTACTAGTACATTCCTAGCCGATCGTTTCATTGTTAGTGAAAGGTCGGCGCGGCGAAAGGGGAATGCTCCTCACCACATTTGAATATTATGCTTAGTTAATTAACCGAGAGTCTGTATGAACAGCGAGGTTAAATTTTTCGATAACTCTTTACGATTCATCATGTATTCATCTGTCATTCATCTTTGCCGTCTACTATTCCCTTATGGTTGCAAAGTTAGCAACTTCAGTAGACTTTTTCAAAAATCTCATTTCTCCGCTAACTAGCCCTCCGTCGGCTGCATTCTAAGGCGCGTCGACGGACGTCCGGTTGTTCAGGATATTCGAGCCGTCGAACTCTTGGTTTGTCCATTGAGCGTCTACCACGTGGCTTTCTGAACAGAGTTGGCCTTGCAGACTTACTTGTGCTTCGTGAACACGCATTCAAATGGTCTCATTTGAGATATCTCAGTTGCAAACAGTAACTCATAAATGACCGCATCTTCAACTGCCGGCTGTGAAGCTTTTAGAGACTCGTCACTCCACAGTTCTTCGAAGAACCTTTGTCCCAGCTTGTCTATCCGTAATGCCTCTCTTCTGGATATCAGCTGCCCCACGACGACCATATGTGAGAGCAGGTGTTTACACAGAATTCAAGGCCGATGGTTTCTTACTGCTCTGCTCCTTATCATTACAGATCGGTCTTATCCCATCATTACTGCCGCTCTTCTGTTATTCATTAACGTTACCACGAAATAGTTCAATTTATCTCTGCTTCAGTGGCGTTCCACGCCTATGCAGAAAACACTCTTTCTACCCATTAAATGTCTCGGCTTTGGTTAGACGATCATTTTCTTCCTGGTCACGTGCGACTGCGAATCCGTGAAGCACTTTGCACACGACGAATCCCTTAGAAGCGAAATGATGTTTCGATCAGATATATCTAATTATTTTCTCAGAGCCTGGGGGGCGAGTGCTGGTCCGGTTTATAAACATCATAAAAGTGACTGTGTACTTGCAGAATCCAACGCACTGTCAAAGACTGACTTCTTGGGGTAAACTTCACCACGGACCTCCTGGTAGTTGTATAAGAAGCCCACACTTTGCTCGGACAACAGTCGAGAAGGCTTTGCAGTGGTCCTGCACGCACCATACCATTTGACTAACCGCGTCGGCTGTTGAATATCTGCTTCGTGCGTTGCTAATCCTCGAAGGTGCGAAAAATTCAGCACATTTAAAGCAACGCGTGAAAGTGGTTTGTCACTGTGATAAATATTTGCCGTGTTTCAGTATCTGACAGATCTTGTTGCCCGTTGTAGAAGTCAGGTGTTTCGCCTTAAATAATTACAAATGCAGCCGATTCCGCCTGCGTAGCTCCGCCCACTCTTCCTTAAAGGGGTTTCCAGATGCAGACCAGAGTGTCGATAGCGCCTAAGGTTAAACATAACTAGCGAGATGTG